TTCACAATGTGGCGAGAGACGAGCTCTCTCTCGGCTCATCTCTCGCTCCCCGCGACGTCCCTCGCGTACTCGGTTTAACAGATCATTTTGCACGATGACATACCATGCCGACTATCGAATTCGAGTCCATCGAGTGGGAGGAGGTCGGCCGTCTTCTCTGTGTGACTGTGGGAGCACGTCTGGTGGCTCAGTTACTGTCAGTGCCCCGTGGCTGGACGATCCATGAGGCTGGCCGGGCGCCCTGGGCATGGTTACCGTCAGTGAATAATTATTAATTACGTGCCTTTGTGATAAGCTATAGCTAACTTTGCCAAAATGTCGGATTTTGCTGAATTTAAAGGCAGTGCGGTGTGGGAACATTATCTAAGAAGTCAAGATGGCCACACAGCAAAGTGTCGTCTTTGTAAAAAGGTACTGAAAATATCTGGAGGTTCCACCAAAGGACTTCACGTCCACCTCAGGAGCAAGCATGGTGGTATGAGTGTTGCTGGACCATCCCGATCCGGAGAGACGCCGCAAAACGTGTCCGGCGAAGGTCAAGGTGAGAGCGCTAAAACCACGGCACCGCATCTAAAAGGAATGAAGACCTTAGATTGCTGCTATGTTTCCAAAACGGACGACGACCTGGATGCTATCCTAGCTAGAATGTGCGCGAGAGATGGGATACCTTTTACAGTTTTCTGTACCTCACCGGACCTACGCGGACTTTTGGCTGCTAAAGGATATAAAAACCTTCCAACCCATCACAACACGATCCGCCGGCGTGTCCTCAAACACTGTGCTCGCCTGAAGTGTGACGTGAAGGCGAAACTGGCCGAAGAATTGTCAAATGGCAAACGGTTCTCACTTACGATCGACGAGTATACGTCCCTGAAAAACCGTCGCTATATGAGCGTGACTGTCCACTGCGAAGGTAACATGTGGGGTCTCGGTGTCGCGCGTTGTCACGGATCGATGCCAGCAGAGAAATGTCTGGATCTTCTGCAGGGCAAGCTGGCAGAATTTGGCCTTGAACTCAGTAAGCACGTCACCTGCGTCACAACCGACGGAGCTTCGGTGATGGTGAAATTCGGGAAGTCACTGCCATGTGAGCACCAACTCTGCTTCGCACACGGTGTTCACCTCGCCGTTGTCGACGCTCTGTACTCGGGTGACGCCGGGCAGACCTCTGAACAAGCAGATGACGACCGTGGTGGTGGTGGACCTAACCAGGTGAGCTTAGTATACAATTATGCATACATCTGATATAGGCACCTAGCGTGAAAATAGAATAACAGTGACGAAATGGTAGAAAATTGTGCACCAAAGTTCGTATCATTTACTGTGCGATTTCACTTCATAAGAGTCAAAGAACAAACAACATTTCACCCAGAGAACAAGGCTTAAGAGCATCGAGCTCAGTTTCATCCGCATCGCGCAATTACTCTCCTTAAAGCATAAAGAGTCGTAAATCTTCATCTACAAATAATCCGAGGAGCCAACACAGCAGGATGACCCCTTAATATATGTACATCTTATATAGATTAATAAGGTAAGGATATTGTCGCCTTGCAGGTGAACTCGTCAGATGAATCCGACGGTGATGACGAGGATGAGGACGACAACGTGGAAGAAAACACTACACTGAAAACAATTTAACCCAAGGCTCGCGAGTAAACCGGTGTTTTGCAGGTACCCCTATCCGCAACCATTTTTAACCACCCTCCCAGGAGTACAGTAAGGTCCCATTGCAGTGTAGTTGTCCCTGCTCTCAGCGGACTTGTCCGCTGACAGCGGTTATATCCGCTCAGAGCAAGTACGACTACACCGCAATGGGACCTAGCACTACTCCTGGGAGGGTGGTTAAAAATGGTTGCGGATAGGGGTACCCGTAAAACACCGGTTTACTCGCCAGCCTTGGGTTAAATTGTTTTCAGTGTACTGGTGCTACTGGTCACCACGAACTACATAGTTCGCTCTCTCCAGTCGTTAAAAGCATTAGAAACATTGTCCGCTGGTTTAGAAAATCGCTCGTACGAAATGAAGTCCTTCAGAAATACGTCAGAGAGGAGCGTGGGCAGGAACTGATGCTAGTGCTAGACTGTAAAACCCGATGGAATAGTTTGTATGACATGCTAGAACGATTTGATAACCTCAAAGCAGCTGTCCACAAAGCACTCATTGACATAGGAGACAAACGTATGAAAATGATCGATGATTATGAATATGCCGCCATACCTGCGCTCATTCGCTGCCTGAGAATCATGAAACTCGGAGCAGAAGCGCTATGCAGGAGAGAAAGTGGACTATTGGAGGCTGAAGCTGCTCTAAAGTTTATGTTAAGCGCGCTTGACAAGGAGGACTGCGCGATTGCATGTAAACTGTCTGATGCGTTGAAACAGCGCATCCGACAGAGACGGTCACGTGCGGCTAAAGTCCTACAATCGCTCCATAACAAAATGTCGGCAGACAGAGACTGGAAAGATATTTTTCCTAGTGCCTCTCGCAAGGAAGCACAGGACTTAGTTGTCCACATGATGGAAAGATTGGGAGAACAGATGCATGATACCGAAGTAGGTGTAGATACAGAAGTGATGGACGCTGATGATCCTGAATCAGCGCCGTCTCTTCAGTCGATGCTTCAACAAGCTCTAGATGAGGTAAAAGCTCCAGAGCAAGGCACCAGTTCATGCCCGTCTGGGATTAACTTTTCGCAATCTTCTCTGATGATGACGAAGGCCATAAGGAAAGAATTGGAAAATTTACCTATCTCAGGAAGGACAGGCATGGTAGCGCTGTCCTACAACTGGCTGAAGGGCATAGTTCCTACGAGCGTTGAATCGGAACGAGTGTTTTCCACTGTCGGGAATATCGTCACAAAAGTGCGGTCGAGTCTCGGCGACGAAGTCGTTGATGCACTTTGCTTCCTCAAGTGTAGACAAGTGAATGTGACTAGGACATGCTGCTGGTCAGACGACCACAATCCGTAGGCACGTCTACTGTATCCTGACTCGAAATATAAACAAGAAATACAATGATCAATGTCATTCATGCTCTTATATTTGTTCGGGGTGAAGGTGTATGCCTGGTATTGTGTTTATGATGGTAAGGATGCGCCATATACATACGATATTGCAAGAAAATTCTGCTTTGTAGACAGGTTAAAATAAAAACTGCTCAATCCCGGGATCCCGGGATATCCCGGGATTGCATTTCTAAAATCCCGGGATCCCGGGATTGCCAAAAAGTCCCGGGATTATCAGCCCTAATTTCGCCCATGGTATAGGGGAAGTTGGGGGAACGCCGAAGACTTTTTTTCTGACGCCCGTAGCACGCAAGGTAGACAACATACGCTATTCTTGTTGGCGTCATTCGAGAGGCCAGTCTTTTGCCTTTCAAACATACCAGGCGCATTTGATGAATTCGCATACCGTTAAGCGCACAAACTAAAAATATCAAAGAAGTGACTTTTTCGGCGTTGCCCCGGACTGCGGGGAAAGCCGAAAATGGGAGAAATGATCTACGGGGAATCCCGACATTGATGTTTTGCCATTTTATCTCAAACTTTATCCAGAATTCATCAAAGCTGACACACGTTTCAAGAGCTTGAGGACGCGGTGCACACTGGAAGTTATAATTGTGTGATATAATAAGAAAATGCCAGGTAAATCATTCCTTATAGGTAACAGGCCGTTGTGTCGGTTGAAAGTGTAATTTGTGTGACTAAAAATACGCGTTGCTATTCTACAGCAGTAAAGTCCACGTAGCGTGCTTTTAACACGTGCGTAATCGCACGTTTTCGGCATTACCCCAGCCAGCCATACTTTCATTTGCAGGCCCATAACTTTTCAACGTGCTGTATAAATTTCAAATAGGCAGCACACTTATGCAAAGACATGCTAAAGATTACTTGACCGAATTGGCCAGACAAACGGTAGCATAATGAGTAAAAAATGCAGCTTCAAAGGCGCATGTAGTACAAGGGAAACGTACCTTGAAAACGCTCTTGGCGCCCTCACAGTCGAAGTATTCCGAATGACGACTCGTAACAAACATGCGATAATTGTAGTCACTTAAGCTTCAGAGCATCACTGACAGGTGGCATCCATGTCTTACGGTTTTCGAAATATCTCGAATTTCGGCTTTGCCCCAACTCCGGCATTGCCCCAACTTCCCCTAACAAGGAAATGCAACTGGCCAAAGCGCCACTGACCCAATAATGGAACGGTGCGCGACTGAGACCAGCTGTGCTATGCACGTGTTTATGAAGCTGGTAAACATAGCCAGAACAACTGATTTCCTGTACACTCAAAATAATATTTACTAAGTCCCGTATTATCCAATATCTTAGCAAATCTCACGAACCCAAAGCGTGCCAAGTCCACATCAACGCAATCCAAAAGCGTGTTAATGTCCATTTAACACGACTTAGGTTAGTGAGATTTACCAGGATAACGCGGAGCGCGGCGGAAGTTAGTAAATGTATCTAACAGTGTAGTCACCAGTCGGCAAGCACCACAACAAGGATTTGTAATTTTGACAGTACGAGTAAATATAAATATGATAAGCGTCATTTTGTTTAGAGAGAAAGACTGAGAGAGGGAGTGTAATATATGAAACGGTTGAATATAAGTAGGCATGTGCCCTGAAATCTAATATAGACAAATTTTAGGGGACACGTTAGATTCAGCCACGCCGAGGGGTGTCCAAACCCTGTCTATCCCTTACAATTAAATATTGGTCAAAGCAGTCATTAGAAGATGAGTTATCCATAATCATATGTAAATGTCCATGTCTATGGCCGCCACTCTACGTCCCCCCAAAAAAGTCGCACATTTTGTCTGTCATGACTCACTGAACAGTGAGAACACAAAACATTTTGTGCTGCCGTGGCAGTCCCACCCGGGTCACTGCCGGGCGTGCCGCCACTACTAGTTCCGTTCGAGGCTGCGCATGACCCTGGGTGTGGGTCCGCCCCGCGGGGGAGGAGGGGGCAGGGTGTCAGGGGGGGGGGTCAGGGGGTACTCCACCGCCGCCCAGTTACCGCAGTACTGGATGACTGGCACACAACCCGCGCCAATAAAAACCACCGGGAGCTGCCGCTGGACCGATCAGTGAGCTGCGCTGGCCGGGCCGGAGCTGAGCTGCGCTGATCGCCGCTGGAGCTGCGCTGATCGCCGCTGAGCTAATCCGCTCTGGAGCTGAGCCATGGCGCTGTTCGGCCGTCTCTGGGTTCTGCCCGTACTTCTGGCACTGCTGGCCGCGACCAAAGGTGAGGGTATGTACGGCACAACATTATATAGGTTTAATGAGTTTTCAACCTAACGGATCAACTAAATGCGATTTATTGCTGAGTCCTAGTCGTTGATAGGCATTTCAATGTCTGTTCCCTTGTATGATTTTATTGAATTTTGACAACACTACATTTCTATGAAGTTATTTTGATCAATTTTCCGTGTGCATTGGGTTTATTTCAAATCACTTCATTACACTTGGAGAATGCTTTCATGAAGCTATTTTGATCAATTTTCCGGGTGTCTGGTGCTGATTTTAGGCGATGATTCTGGCTCCATGGAGTCAGGCGAGGTCCTAGAGATGCTGGACGATACGCTGGAGACCATGAGGGTAGCCGGCTGCCTTCCTGACGATTACGTCTCACTAGAGCTTCCCTCCTGCGAGCAAGTCAACGGGGGAGTGTACGACAAAATTCTCTGCGTCGCCAAAAGGTGATAGTTGCTGCTTAGTGGCAGGACAATCTGTGCAGCAAATGAACTTGCATTTATTACCATTCATGCTAAAAACATTGTACGCAAGGGAAGCATGTGACTGTGAAAGTAACTTGGTGCTTGGCAGGGCTAAGATTAGCTCGTGTTTGAATTGCGTGAGCTGGAGTAAGGCAACGTGAGTAACAATAGTTTTAATCCATCGCATACATGTAAGGTCAGATTAATGCCATCAGATGATAAACCTAGTCTCAGATAGACAGATAGAGGCTAGAATTGCGAGGCGCCCACTCTATGCCTCTTTTTGTTGGACAAGTTTCCATCATTTGACCAGGCTCTGGAAGCCATTTTTTTTTTCTGAGTTACGACTTCTTGAACAAAATTCTAGAACAGAATTGCGTCAGAACAGCGGCCAAAAAGAGGACTACCAATAACTAGTAGCTAACTATAACAAATAGCTTATAACAAATAGCAAATAACTAGCGGTTTCATTAGTTTAGGACAGTATCACACACAAACATGCCTGTTCAGCTACAAAACAGGCTGTGAAATCGTGTCAGCTATTCACCATCCTGCATGACCTGTTCTAACATAATATTTTCGCTTCCAGTGCCGGCTTTGCCAATGAGTCTGGGTCATATAATGCTGAGACCGCCACCACCTTCATCGGCTCTTTGAGCTCGGACGAACAGTGGGTGGAGGCGACGAAGGCGACGCTGAACTCCTGCTCTTCGATGATGTCCGATGAGCTGCCCGACAACAGGCAGGGAGTCTTCATGTTCGCTTGTCTGGTGATGTCGCTCAAGTTCCAGTGCAACGCCAAGCGTACGGGAGATGCCATGCAGTCGATTATCGGAACTGAGGGTCAATCCATCGGACAGGCTCTGGCTTATATCGCCGAGGGCTACTGTGTGACTGGCGGCCTTAAGAACCCCGACAGCATCGACGAATGGACGGCGTGCTCCGAGCAGAACTCCCTCGACCTGGAGGTCCTCGCCGAGGCCGGAGAGGCCTACAAGAAGTTCGCGTACACTTCGGAGGAGGTGGACATCGACGCAGATGACATCAACGCGCTTAGCGACCAGCTGGACAACTTCAACGCCACCATCCACTGCACGATGACAGCGATTGGGGAGATCACTGCTGACGGCGAGCTCGACTTTGACCGGATGCGCGAGAACCTCAACATCAGCAAGGGCAAGGACTACATCAAGAAGACTGCCGTGGGGGTGCTCGACTTCTGCCAGGGTATGTCACCCGCAACTCCCAACGACTTCGTGACATGCTGGTTCGGCAGCCTGCCCCACGTCTGCATCTCGCTGCAGGCCCACGGCCTGGTGCTGGCTCCGGAGAAGAAGCCAAGCTGCCCGGCGGGGGGACGCGGAGGAAGGGGACGCGGAGGAAGGGGACGCGGAGGAAGGACCCAGCGCCGCAGGAACCAGCGCAGGAGGAACCAGCGCCGCAGGAACCAGCGCCGTCGCCAGAGGCCGCAACAGCCCGCCGAGGAGATTTAGAGGGTTGCCGAACAGAGCTACACCCAACGGCCGATACAAATGATTAATGAACAGGACCACGCGTTTTTGCTCGCTTGGAGGCGTAGCAGACTCAGGCACCTGCTGTTGTCTGAACCCACAGTCAGACGATACCGAAATTAGATCGCACCCCCTTTTACGCATAATCATTGGCATTGTTCATGAAGCGCACATGCGGTTATATACAAAATGTTTACAATGGCACCGTTTCTACAAATACACTTTTCAAGATTGAGAGGATTATTTGGTAATTAAACTGAAATAATATGAGACACATTCAGCACTTTTCACCGCCCCACACCGGTGTTGATGGGCTAACATATAATTGCGTATTTTGTTTCCTGTGAAAATTCACCACCCGATGAATTCCTCTGAGGATCTTTGCAATGTCGACCAAGAAATGTCCTTATATCTTGTCATGGGAGCGCCGCGTCTCGAAACATTCCTCAAAGGCAGGGGGTCACAATAAAGCTACCGCAAACCACAATACCACAAAACACTGAACACTCTTGTTACAATCCAGTAGCATGGGCTCCTTGTAGAGTTCAATAGGTTTTGTGCCTAATAGATGCTAGCATCATGTTAGCGCTAGCTTCTGCTAGTTGCTACCTACATTGTACAGGCGTTGAAGACAGTACCCGTCCTGATATGAAATAAAGTACGACAAAATATTTCTATAATGCGCCATGATCGTACCATGTAGCTATTTATAGTCAGCTAGCAACAGATGGCGTCGGACAGGCTTTCATAGCAGCACACCCACGTGGGTAGGGTGTCACCAAACCAAGTGTCACCCATCAGAACTGTCAGGTGACCGCCTACACCGCCCACCGGTACCCCGTGCCACGACCCCCCCCCCCCCCGGGGAAGGGGCTACCGGCAGAGACCTCTGTTGGTCAGAAGTGGAGTTACAGCTCGCCATGATGAGACGTCATGACCCCGACCTGACTGGGCTAGAACCCCCCCCCCCCTCGCCCCCAGCGCCAGTTGCCCCAGTTGAACGATAACATAACATCCAATGCTAGCTGCTGTGGTAAGAAGGGCTCTAGCGTCATAACTAGAAATCGGATATTTATGTGATTTTTTTTCGCCAAAAATATGCCATTTTTATGTTTGAAATTATGGCAAAATATGTTACCAAATCATCAAAATATGTTAATTGAAGCACACCTTGACCACCGCCGGACCTATTGATTTTCTACACACGCACCGGCACGCGCCGGCACGTTACGCGCCGGCAGAGGGGGGGGGGGGGGATACGACCCCCCTCGCCGTTTCGCCCCTGATCGAGCTAGAGCGTCGCGGAAAAAACGAGCGTGCGCGCCGTTACGAGACGCGGCGATTGATGCCCGATTTTAAGACCTCAGGTCAACCAATGGCTTCTCAGTCCTCTCCCAGACTCCAGCCAGCTCAACTTAGCTGCATTGTCGACACCGCCTGCAAACCACCACGGGTCCAGCCCGCTCCCGGCCGACGTGATCGCAATCCGAGCCGACTTCTCGAGTTCGAGGCGGCGCGGCGGCGGGCCGGGTAGTATGTATGATGATGTAGTATGATGATGATGATGATGATGATGATGATGATGATGATGTAGTTTGTCGTAGTACCTACGACAAACTACGACATTCTTATACAGGCTTATAAAACATTCCTAACACAGAGACCACCACGGGAGGTCTGACTGAGTGTAGCTTCAGCCTTACTGGCCTTTTTTCCTTAAGGATTGTTTTTCAAGCTTGAAATGTTGTGAAAATATGTCCCCATGCCTACTTATTTGGATGTGTGGCTCTGCAAGTCAGTTACTCAACCAGCATCAGTCCGGCTCTCCATCGCATAGCCCTCGCTCACCACAGCCCCAGAGACAGCGTTTACACTTAGAGGTGTCATGCTGGTCATAAAATGATTACTGATTAGGGAGAACTACCTTGTGACCTAATTTCATCGACCTGGACCTAACCAATGACGCTACAGGTCAGGTCAAAGGTCGAATTTTCACCGTTTACAGGCATTTCAAGAAATGTGTTGAAAAATCAAGTAAGAAGGAATGCCATTGAAAATCGTCGATGGGGAATTGTACGTCAAACACATATTTTGCTATCTGAGGTCACTAAAACCAGGTCAGGTCACATAGGCTAGGTCACTGAGGGTCACAATATGAAAGTGTAGCGTGATACGTGTTTTATGGTCCATTTTACATGACAAACGCGATTATGTGGGTCACGCAACCTTTAAGACCAGTTTAGGCTATATTCTGGTGAAGGTTAGGTCAAGGTCGGGTCAAATTAGGTCAAATTTCAAACTTGATATTTTGCATAAAATGGGTATTGATTCGATGCAGTTCGTCACGGAGAGTCTAATGGTGGTCTTTGTTTTGTGCTACGTGGTCTAGAATTGCTAAAAAATTGTGTTTGAAAAATTGACGTCATCAGTTCTGAACAGTTTTTTTTTCGCTATGACTTGGCCAAAAAAAGAGGTATAGATCTCAAAATTGGTATGTACGAAATAGAGGACGGTAGGGACAATCATATACATTTCAGGTTTTACAAATCCGATTTTTTTAGGGTTTTCGGCTATTATAGTTTTAGTGATGATGAAATAGCCTTTGCTCATACTTAATCGAAAAATGACGAAAAAAAACAAAATATATATAAAGAGACTGATATTTCGCCCTTGTGGCTTCTTCAGAGTGAGCATTTAAAACATTCATATTTGAAGCAGAGATGGCGAACGTGCGGATAACATTCTTTGCACCACCGATCACAAGTTGTTGCTAATTTAAATAGCAATAATCCAATTTTAACACTTTACCCTAAGTACTATACTCTGTTCCGTTTCAAGCTTGCAGCCGGAGTGCCCTGCTGAAAGCAGTGCGTGATTTCTGTATGTACAGCTCTTACATTTTAAAGGGACCCTCCCACCTTAACATCAGTTTTGAGTTGAGATAGCCATGTTTGCGGCCAGGCTCAGAAACCACCATTTATCCTGGTCGCAACCCCCGCAGCTTTATGGTGTTCAAGAAATTTCTTCCCTTTACTTGCAGGGTGGGACCAGCGTGGTCCCTATCTCTTAACCATTACGGGAATCTGATGACGTCATCAGGCTTTCGAACGTCCGTTAAATGTTTGACTAAAACGTTTTGTTGCACGCGGTGGTATATGCTGCTTTGCGCGCAACAAATGCCGCACTTTCAAATAAAGTCGCTAGGAACAGCGGAGATCCCAAAAAGTAAACAAAAGTAAAAGTCTAATATCTTGAAAACCGGTGAATATTTTTCGATGAAATTTGGTAGATATTCGTTTTTGCTCTTTTTGAACCGAGCGACATCACTTTCATGCCAATTCATTAACTTTTTTGAAGGTGGGAGGGTCCCTTTAAGACGCAAATTCTTGAGCGGAGAAGCGATCTGCCGAAGAAACTCCGACTGCAAGCTTTATATGGAACAGACTATAATCCTAAATGCATCTAAGTCAATGATACCTAAAATAAAATTTCGGTACCGGTGTCAAATGTGTAATTGTGCAGGGATCGTGTGTGTTCTTATTTAGGCCAACATGCGTCATTTTATTTCTGTATACCTATATGCTGCCAGTCTGGGGAGAAGATCGTGATCGTAAATCATGCCTTTTTATTTTAGGTATCATTGACTTAGATGCATTTAGGATTAGTACTTAGGGTAAAGTGTTAAAATTGGATTATTGTTATTTATATTAGCAACAACTTGTGATCGGTGGTGCAAAGAATGTTATCCGCACGTTCGCCATCTCTGCTTCAAATATGAATGTTTTAAATGTTCACTCTGAAGAAGCCACAAGGGCGAAATATCAGTCTTTTATATATATTTTGTTTTTTTTCGTCATTTTTCGATTAAGTATGAGCAAAGGCTAGTTCATCATCACTAAAACTATAATACTAACAATGCTCATCACAGCCATCAAACATATATGTTTTCGGCTATTATATAAAAAAATGTTTTTTATTTTGGGGGTTCAAAATCCCAAAATTTGAAGAAAAAACTCATAAAGCAGTTTTGTAGCCCAGTCCATTCTACACATTCTATGTCTGAACAATTTTTTTTTGTATCCTCAAAGCGAGAGCTCATCCCGCGAAATCTTTTTGGGGTTGAAAATGGCAGAACAAGACGTCATTCTGACGTCATTTGCGGCCAACCTATCATAGCCTCTGGAATTTTTTTAGTCACAATGTGTAAAATTGATGCCCGGAGGGGTCCTGAAACTTTGGTGACGATATCGGCAGTCGCTTGGGAAATATCTACGGAAAAAGACAGGGGCGTTTCGCCCCCCCCCCCTACGGGGCGCGGGTTAACCCTCGCCCTGGCAGGGCATTTTTCATAGCACGGCCTGGCAGGGGGGCCGATGCTACCCCCCCCCCCTCGCGATTGGCTCCTATGACACTTAGAAACACCAAATTTGGTAGGTAGGTGTACCCCCTGGAGTTCTCGCCCCTGTGCAAATTTGGTTGCTCTAGGTCAATATTTAGGGGGGTTTTGGCCTTTGGGGGTATAAATGTAAAAATTTCGCTAAAAACAGGTCAAAAGTTTTTCGCTTATAACTTTTGATCTAATTAAGATAGAGCAAACAGAAATGCACCAGTGAACTCAGCATGCCAAGGCGCGTCGAGTGATATACTTTTTAGCTTGCTTAAATGTACTTAAAGTTTTTCTTAATTTTTAAGTAAACTTTAATGAATTAATTAAATTCAAGTTAACCAAATTGCACCATATCGCATATCATTCGATTCGGCTGATCACCAGGAACACAATGACACCATTTTTTAAGCTCTAGCGTCATTATGTGCCAAGTTATTGGCAACAACGTCATTTGACCTCAGTTGACCTCATTTGACCTGACCCATGGATAAGCAGACCAAACAAAGAAGCACCAAGTGACCTGCTGTTAAGTACTGTGGTTTCAAGGCACAAAAATGATAGAACGAAGCGGATATCTCCAGTATTTTCCGAATTTGGTATTTTCCCATAGGCTTAACATTACGACGTAATGACCTCTAACTGACCTCAGGTCAGTGACCTCAAAAACCCGAACTAAATGTTATACAACTCGGTGAAATTAGCACATCCTGAAAGTTCGAAGGAAATCAGTCCAAAACTGTGAGTTGGACAGGTGCAAAAAGAAAATTGAAATTTGACCGTGACCTTGTACCGGTTTTCTGACCTGGTGACCTGACCCAAGGTCAACCGGACCTGAAATTTTCAGGTCATATGTAAAAAGGTTGCCCCATAGGCTATGCCAAATTTGGCGGCGCGCACGCTATCTTCGAAAAACCTTAAGGGGGGACGCATCGACCCCCCTGCCAGGGCGAGGGTTAATGCTGACGCTGGTGACTGGCGGCCTGGTATGACGACAAGGGCGAGCCGGCGACGTCGCGAGATTTTCCACCATGTCTAAAATATGTGAGTTTTTGCTCAAATGTGCATTTTATGTTATTTCCATTCGGAGAGTTGATTTTACGTGAAAATGTGCTTTATGTGATCACATAAAAATCTGATCTCTAGTCATGACCCTGCACACCGGATTTCGAGCCACCAGCATCCTTTTGGGAGCACCGTTTGACCCCGCCATGAACTGTGACATACAGCGAGTTCTGCCAACTCAGCTCGGACAGACGTCAGGGTCCGTCAGGGCGCTGACGCCCACTGACGCCCCCTGTCGCCATAAAAGGGCCCCCCGGCCAGCGGTCAGTCGCAGTCCCTGCCAGCCCGGTCTCGAAGCCAGCAGTGTTGACGCCATGCTGCGGCTCTCGCTAGCTCTCGCCGTGCTGCTGGCGGTCTCCGCCGCCGGCGACAAGTACCCAATCAGCCGCTTTGGCTGCGGCTGCAACCGCAACATCATCGCCGCCGACCTCACCGTCCAGGAGATCTCGCAGCTGCGCGTCTACATCCAGCAGCTGGGCATCAAGAACCACCCGGTCCTCACTGACGACGTAATCAATGCAATCTTCCGGTTCAACCTGAACAACAACTACCAGGGCCAGGTGCCATCCAAGCGTTCCACTCTGCTGCAGATCTTCTCCGAGTCTTTCAGCTCGCTGACCGACGCGGTCCTCCCCAGCGTCTCGCAATGCGGCAAGTTCGGCGATTACCTCTACAAGGCGACGCCGCTGGTCATCTCTGGGGACCGCAAGTTTGATATGTGCTCACTGGTGGCCTCCTACGCGGTAATCCTGCATCAGCGCGAAGTCACCGTCAACTTTGACCAGCTGAACGTGATACTGAAGCTCGGACTGCAGAAGTACCTCAAGTCCACGGCCTACCAGGTGAGGCACTATGCTATGCTATGTGTTATGTTACAAGGTGGTTACAAGGCGGGTTATGTTACGTGCTCCTTCACATTATTTGATATTCATCGAAGCTCTTGTTTGCATCAGTTTTTTCTTCAGTGCAGAGCTATAGTTTCAAATGCTGAGATAGTATGTCCATCGCACCACAAGTGGCAGCAAGAAATATTTACACCCGAATCCCGTACAAACTGGCACACAGGAGCGCACAGGCTTTGTGCTTAGGAAACCGAGCCTACGCTCTCACACCATCTAATCATGTCCTTTGTCTGTTCCAGTCGAGCTACAGCATGTTGACACAGCTGCTGACCAGCCTGGACTTCATCGATCACGACCTGCCCACGATCCTCGACTACGAAGAGCTCATTGCTGTACGTCGCGCATTGCTGCTGCGCTACAACATCAAGAGGGCCCGGTTCGACAACAGGTTTAGACTAGCTATCGAGGTAAGCATTCCGGAATACTTGTGTTATTGCGCTTGGAGCTGGAATCATTAGAAGCACAAGCCTCAACGCAAGAAGGTATCTGCATTATATCTATATCTGTTGGTAGTTTACGCGTGATGCATAAGTTATTCAATAAGTGTTTCTTATGTCGTATGAAACTTAGGATAGTTGAAACGCAAACTGTACCGAAATACTTGACGAAAAAATCCAATAATTAAAAATAAAGCTGTTCTAAACGCGCTAGACACCATCTATTTCTAAACTGCAAGGAACACAAGACACATCGAATATGATCTCAGGCAGCTTTTGCCAAATTGTCAGGGAACTCAGATTTGTTTTTCAATAGAAAAACACAATTCTAAAGAATAGTGTTTTAACTATTGACAACAAACCTTCGGTTATATTTCATGAACATGCTATCAATGGCTACGTTTCCATGACACAAGCTAAGCCGATTTTGAAAAATGGATTTGCTCCATCATAGCAATTAGGCATAATTTAAAAATGTAAATATAGGATTAGGTGCTAGCTAAAACCATATATACCTACGCTCATTTTTTGCATAAGGTAAATAGTTTCCGAGAAAAACGCACGTGAAATTTCGCTAAATCGATTTAGACGTGTCATGGAAACGTAGTGAATGACAAGTCACATGCATTTTCTCTATTATCTCCACAGGAGTTCAAGCTAAACCGTCATCGCCTCCTGAGCACTTTCAACACCATTGCCTTCCGTGGTCCGTACTACGAGATCGTCGTGCAGGAGGTCATCAGGGAGATCATCAAGATCTTCCCGGGACTCTCAGCTTCGTCCGTGCGCATCATCCTCGACGTGCTGCAGCTTACCAACGCGTGAGTGGAGTTGTTTGTTTGAAGCAAGAGATAAGTCATAAAGGTCGCACGACGATGTAACTAGAAGAGCCCACTAGTCCTCGCAACGGGTAGGCAGTAGGCACACGTTACTCGTCTTGTCCTGTCTGGCTGTTCGTCGTCTTGCACGAGCAGCAAGAGGTGTAACAGTCTTTATCACGTATTTCAGCAGGAATAGTAAGAACCTATAAACTCTTCCTGGCAAAAGTGTCGTAAACAGAAAACATTATAATTAAACCCTCCTTTTCAAAGTTTCTTCTATTGACAACGAACAATTAAGCCATCCTTGAATAGGGTCCCGCAGGGGAAACGGGGCATCTAATTGTCAACGTAATTAACTTTACCGCCGTAGCATGGGTTGATATAAGCCCCAATTAAGAGGCCCATATGCAAGTAGTAAACAATCCAAGCGTCACAACAGTAGGTTTCATGCGCCGAACGCACTTGGTCAACCGTGCCTCATTTACTTTTAGACGTCTGTGCATGGTGAAACGATACCGTGGTGTTAGCTCGATTACGTTAACATACGCGTCCCTGTTTCCACAGTCCTGGCGGCAAGGCTAGTCCCAGGGACCTTCTGGCACTGATCACCGTGCCCAGACTGGACGCTGAGCTGTACGTCATCCAGGAGTACTACATCCAGAAGTACGTCGCCTCCTTGGTCACCTACTATCCCTCCATCTCAGTAGAGATTATCAAGGAGGCTTACCCCACCTTCCTCATCAGTCTGATTTCGCAGGGCATCCAGCCGGTGAACACGATCGTTACTTACAATACCTTCCACTACTACCTGCAGGCCTACTTCCAGTCCACCAGCTCCTACTCTGTCGAGTCTATGACGACCTTTTTCCTCCGCACGGTGGTGACGTCGATCCCTCGTGGCTCACCACACTTCCGTATAAACATTTTCCAGTCTACTGTTGTCATCGACAACATCCTGGTGCCGCAGCCCTGGACCAGCATCTACAGGAAGGGCAAAGCTAGCATCATCAAACGCATCGTCGGGCCACAGGGCAACAGCAGGAACATTATCATTCGTCTGAAGACCGGACGCGGTGAGAAGCCCGTCATCCAGAACGACCTCAAGTTCAAGAACATTGTTCCCGCTGACGTTCCGGGCTATGACCAGTTCGAGTACCAGAACGTTATCCTGTCAGCTATCCAGCTGAGCCAGGTTGCCAGCGCGCTGATCCAGCGCTTCAACCTGCTGAAGCAGCCCTCGCTGCAGCTGTCGACGCTGCGCATTATGATTCGCGCTGGACTGATCAAGGGAACTGGAGTCCAGGCTGCGAACGCCTTCAGTACACTGTTCCAGGGTCTGCCCGCCTACTCTCTCCCGACCGACTTGACGTTCGTCTTCTCGCAGCTGACCGAATTAAACCTGCAACTGACGGAGACTCAGATACGTGGTGCGCTCCAGCAGTTCTACGTGGTGACCCGCTCCCTGGGCTATGTCATCCCGCAGGAGACGATCCACAGTGTGTTCGTGTACTCCGTTCGCGAGTACCTCTCGACCCTGACGTCGATCCCGACTCAGCCGTTCGGAGATGGGTTCCTTGAGTTCCTGTACCTGCGTCTTGAAGTTATCATCAAGAAGGTAGTGGTGATCGAGCAGCAGGTGCCTATTGACGACTACGTCACCCAGCAGATCTTGTCTGTTTTCGCTAACGTTCGCATCAGCGTGGAGGCCAGACGCACGATCATCCGGTTCATCCACAACTCCAAGCTCCTCCCGAAGCCCCAGAAGGGAGTATCGGTGGTGAGCCAATATCAGGCTCTGCTGACCTCACTAACGAAGCGTTATCCGCTTGATATTTTCGTCCTGAATAAGAACATTCTGGTGCAGATAAGGAGTCAGCTCATCAGTGCTGGTATCCAGATTCAGCTCAAGGTTTTGCGCGATATCAACATCATCGCATACATCTCTCTCGGTCTTATGGATCGTCTGAAGGGGCAGAACACGGTGGGTTATGTTCGCCAGATTGTCTACAGCTCGATACGCTACTTCCTGCGAACCAACAAGGTCACTAGCATCCTGAGCCTGGAGTTCGTTCAGTTCCTGTTGCACAAGTACAAGGTGCCGTCACCCCCGCAGATCTGGTGGCAGCCACCCGTCGAGCAGCACAAGGTCAACATCCAGCGTGACATCTACATCCTTCCCGACATCTATCTGCCAGTGAGGAGTGTCCACCAACTGGTTGTGATCCTCCAGAAACGCTTCGTCTTCGTGTCGATCGACAACGTTCAGACCATTATCGTGCACACCATCCTGATCCTCCGTGCCAACGGCGTGACCATCACCAGCGACAACTGTTACGATTATCTGTACAGGTACTACAGCGGACTGCCAGCGAACATCGGCGTGGAGTCATTCGACATCAGCAGTGTTCTGGATAGCATCAAACGCTATGCGGCGCAGACCACTGTGACCGAGGTGCACGTGCAGTCGGCCCTCGTAGAGCTGTGCATCCACCTGTACTCGATGGAGCTGCCTCTGCCCAGCGTGCAGTACCGCAACAAGTTCCTCGGCTATGTCATCGACGCTTACGGCAAGAAGTATCGCCGGCACGGACTGCCTCTTGGCGCGCGCTTCTACAAGTTTTTGAAGAAATTCCTGCCGAAGGCCCGCCACACAAAGCCCAAGTACATCTCGTGCAAGTACGACTACTTCAAGTGCTAGATATCAATGCAGAGCAATTGGGCTTTGATCACTCGTGGATACCACCTAAATGACTATGGTCCATGCCAGAACAGCTGCACACAGTGCGGCGTTCTGACATTGGATTGGCATCAGAGCTGATATGACACATGATAAACGCATTGTTTGGAGGGTATTGTTAAATGGGTGGGCATTTTTCAGGGTTTACCTACACGTGTGACATGAAATTATTGTTTTTGTGTCTATTCTGATCCATGTCATGAAATTGGGTAGTGCATGTGTTGGTGTAACTGTGATATCAAATAATAATAAGACGATGATGGCGAAATGCGGTGTTTTTGTTTGTCGGTTTGCCATTTGAGAAAACGGAAGGGCGATGGGAAGAACTCACCTGAAACAAACTGAGAAACGTGACTCACTGTGTACGAGCTCACGATGAGCGCAGACGGCCAGACGGCTTAGCACTAGCGAGCGGGCATGCATAGACAACAACCTTAAACTCGAAAACAACAGGGTACTTCACTACAATACATCATATATTGTCAGCGGAGACACTGCACGACTCAACCCAACACGACACGACTCAACCATTGTTATGGTAACTTTGAGCTGCGCCCCGCTGGGGGTCCTAGATTTCCACGCCCTGCTGGGAGGGGGGGGGGGTTGAACACCCCCCTTTAAAGGGACTGTCCCACCTTAACGTTAGAATTGAGTTGAGATAGCCATCTTGATGGGCGTTCTTTGAAAATCAGAGCCGTGAAAACCGTTTATCCGTCGCCGCCCTCGCGCTTGCAAAAAACATTGTCATAGTGTGTAACGGGGCTGTATTTTGTCCGTTTTTTGGAGAGGTGGAACAGCCCAGTACAGAGAGCACACAGCATTAGCACCGCCTAAAGCAAGATAAACGAACAAGGCACAGGAGGCGTTGGGGTGGCGGCGGGCGAACAACGACTTTTTTGCTGGCTCTGCGTCGCCTGTCGCTGCGTCAACTGCGGGTGCGGCGGCGCCGCCGCGCCGGCTCAGCCGCCGCAGGTTGACAAGCGCTTAAGTTGGCGACGACCGATAAAAGTCTTTATACGCCGTTGGCGCATAAATTGCCATTTATCCGTCGCCGCCCTCGCGCTTGCAAAAAACATTGTCATAGTGTGTAACGGGGCTGTATTTTGTCCGTTTTTTGGAGAGGTGGAACAACCCAACCACCCCCCGGCCCACCTGTCGCCGCGCAGGCGGCCGGGGTTCGCAGTCCGGGCTGGGCGACGTCAGTGCGAACTTGAGCCGAGCTGCAGCAGGGACCCACACCGGCGGAGGTACCGCCGCAAGGCAGATGAAGACCAGCGCCAATGACGGCGACACCGAGCGCCCGCGGCCGGGACCATATTCTGTCCCGCCGTGTCGGGGCTCGCCACCCGTGATGAGGCATCGAACTTTTGGATTGATTGTGTAAGAGCAAGTATTGCAGATCCGTACATCTCCTGCCAGGAGAGCCCACGGCCAGCGGATACACCGGCTCCGCCGTGGTGAGCTCCGCGTAAGACACGCTGAGAGTAAAAGCTGGCGACACCAAGCGCGCGCGGCCGGGACCAATTCCGACGCACCGCGGCGGGGCCCGCGACCCGTGATGCGGTATCGAACGTCTGGATGAATTGTGCGACAGCAAAGCTCGCAGGTTGCTCGCGTCATACCACGAGAACCCCCGGCCGGAAGACACAACGATCCTAAGACGTCTGAGAGTAATGACTGAGCACCCGCGGCCGGGACCGTGCCATCCCGCCGTGTCGGGGCCCGCAGACCGTGATAGGATGTCGTATATGAGCCGCGCGCCAGGTGGAGCAGTGAGACAGTTTGATGCCGGAGTCGGGCCAGCCGGAGTGATGCCGGAGTTGGGATGCCGGAGTATCACCTAGCGGGAGCCGGAAGAGACGATCACAATCGTGTAACGCGACTCCAAGGCATGTCATGGCAGGCCTGTACTGGGCACCAGGGTACGCTCCGAGCGTTACAAACATTCTGAGAGCGAGACAGAAATCCTCTACCATCATCGCGGAATAAACCAATTAATAAGAAACAAGGAGCTCAAAACAGAACTGATTGGTCAAGTGTCACATAAAAAGCGGGCGATTTAGATGAGGATGTCGGTAAGCGACCGCAGAGGGCGAGCTGTTAGTATTGCCTACGACGCTCAACGAAGATGAAACCGTGCCATCCAAATTATTGGATGGCAACCGAGTCGCCCACAGAAAGAGGAATCGGCTGGAAAGAACGACGGTGTCGTGTCGCGGTATGGAAGTCAAAGAGGTGGTGTGGCGATCAGAGAGGAGGTAGGTAGCGGGGCCAGCATAGGCACAGTGTGCATCTCCGGCAGCGGCAGCTGCTCCGTAGGGGGCGGCAACGGCAGCGGTAGCATGACACGATGAGGTAGCGCTTGTCGCTGCATCGCAATGTCCGCCATCCAGCAGCACCCGCCGACCTCCTCGTGGACCAGGTGACGCCGGCTGTTTACCCGCGCGCTGAGCACCGTTTGGGTAGGCACCGTATCCGTAGTGGGAGGCGGCTGAGGCAATTGCCGAAGCTGCGCCCCGCTCCGTGCAGCAGTACCCCGCAACCAGCCCCGTCCGTGAATTGTGACCAAGCGCGGCGGGGCCGGCCTGAGCCCGCCGTCGACGCAGACCGGTAGAGGGTTTCTCGGCATGCCCGATGTGCCATGAAACAAAGGTACACATAAACGTCAGTGAAGACAACTGCATGATACACAGCGATAGGTATTTCCCGCGGTGCCATCATCGCCGCCAGGGGCACTAGCGAAGGAAATACTTTGAGAAATGCAGTGAGGGCGGTACGACACTAGGAACTCGTGGGAGCATCGTAAACCGACATACTATGCCAAAAGCAGAATGAATAAAAGCACATTATCATGTGAGGTGGACAGATGCAGGGTGGTCGTTTGGAATAGATGTAAAGGCAATTGGAAACATCAGCCCTGTTTGAAGCGAACAGGGCAAAAGCAAAACCAAACGCACCCATCGAACCACACGGTGTGACATTGTATCTGTATCGCAGTCAGTCCTCAGCGTCAATAGCCGGCTAAGAGGAGATGCCCAAAGTACATATACTCCTTCGCGGACCGCCGACCAGCTGAGCTGGATCATGCTCACGGGCCACACCAAAGACAGTAACGCGCACGGCGGAAGCGGCAGCCAGTAACAGTGTTATATCGTACCAACGATAGGGGCCGGACCGACCACCCACGGCGTGATACTTATGAGCTGACCGCAGCCCCGCCGGTAAAAGCTGTTAGGATTTAGGAAGCCTTCACGCAAAAAGCCGATCGTGGTGTGAGAGAAGCTGACCGAGCTCGACCGGCAACACCTATTAGTGAATATGTGTCCGGAATTCGTAACTCGCCGCTAGAATTATTTTCGGTCGCAGTAAAGTTGACAATGTCTCCAACTTGCGAACAAAGCTCGGGTGGTTGTCCCCGCGCGGTATGTCCGATTTCCACACCCTTGTCCTCACATAGGTACAAGGTCCTACAGCGCCGAGAACCCGAGCAACTAGCAATCCTGTTCGTCGCTAATAGCGCTATCCCCGCGAGAAACAATCCAGGCAAGCTCACCTCCTCCATCTTCCCCGTCCGCGGCTGGAAACGGGCAAGCGGCGGTTCGGCTATCGCGCTGCAGCGCTGCTGAACAGCCTGCCACCTCACCTGTCGCAGCTGCCTCCCGCCGTGAGTGAATGTGCAAATGTTCTGAATGCTTAGATAAGCAACCGCGGATATGGATTCTGAGCAGTAATCGCCACGCACGTTGTATGTGGATCGCTCTGAAATGTAAATACGATGCAATACAATACAATACAATATCATCCGCACTGTATGGGCTTATCGCTGCCAACCGGGAGAGAAGAGCTCACCGCTGCTCCGCCGTAAATGTCGATTATCTCATCAGGACGGTAGACTCCATTGGAATGAATCTGTTCAGCTGCATGTATACGAATGAAGAAATAAAGAGTGAACACGCACGGTTAGCGGGATCCGAACATACGCAACCCGCCCCGGAAACTCGAAGGCGAGATCAAACCCCGCCATTCCGGAAGATATCAGGGCGGGAACAGCCTCCGCCATACCGGGAATATACCAGGGTGGGAACAGCCTCCACCATTCCGGGAATAGACCAGAGCGGGAACATTCTCCGCCATTCCGGGAAAATACCACGGCGGGGGGGCCACCTCCGCCAGTCCGGAAATATACCACGGCTGGCACAGCCTCCGCCAAGCCGGGAATATACCGCGGCGGGAACAGCCTCCGCCTATCCGGGAATATACCACGGCTGGCACAGCCTCCGCCATTCCGGGAATATACCGCGGCGGGAACAGCCTCCTCCAATCCGGGAATATACCAGGGCGGGAACAACTTCCGCCATTCCGGGAATATATCGGGGCGGGAACAGCCTCCGCCATTCCGGGAAGAAACCACGGCGGGGACAGCCTCCGCCATACCGGGAATATACCAGGGCGGGAACAGCCTCCGCCAGTCTGGGAATACACCACGGCGGGAACAGCCTCCGCCATTCCGGGAATATACCAGGGCGGGAACAAGCTCTGCCATTCCGGGAATACACCAGGGCGGGAACAGCCTCCGCCATCTTGGAAATATACCGTGGAGGGAACAGCCTCCGCCATGCCGGGAATAGACCAGAGCGGGAACATCCTCCGCCATCATGGAAAAATACCACGGCGGGGGCCACCTCCGCCGGTCCGGAAATATAACACTGCTGGCACACCCTCCGTCATTCCGGGAATATACCAGGTTAGGAGCAACCTCCGCCATTCAGGAAATATATCACGGCAGGAGATATCTCCGCCATTCCGGGAACTTACCGGATCGGGTACAGCCACCACCATAAGACAATAAAGTCTTACAAAACACGCAAGTTTGCGGCGAGATATCGACGCATCCAGCGTGCAACGCCGGGCCGCCCAGAAAGCAAAGCTATCGCCCCCCAACAGCAGCATGCTGAAACGAAAATGAAGAAAAGGCAAGGAGGGACGTAACCAACGGCATGTGGACGGAACGGAGCAGTGCCGTACCCGTTACTAGTCCGGGAACGTACGGCTAAACCCGGTAACTGCCATAATGAGAGTCGGTGCCAAACTCTTGGATGCCGGCCACCAATAAGCCACAGAGGCGACTGCAGGTACAACATCCGCAAGCCCGGCGGGTACCACGGCCGCCAGTTCTGTGGTTACAACGTCCACCAGCCCCCAGCGGGTACAACATCCGCAAGCCCCGCGGGTACAGCGTCCGCCAGTTCTGTGGGTACAACGTCCACC